AAAAAAGAGTGGAAAATTTAGGTGTTAAACCATATTTAAAAATGGCCTCGCCTGGGATTTGAACCCAGGACTTGAACCAGGGACCTCTCGCACTCAAAGCGAGAATCATATCCCCAGACCAACGAGCCATGGTGTATGGGTTTTATTTGATGTGCCAAAGTGGAAACAAAACTACAGATGCAACAAGGTTGGAAAATTTAGTTGTTGAACCATAATTAAAGCTGGGCTCAACAAGGATTGGAACCCAGGACCTCTCGCAACCAAAGCGAGAATCATACCCCTAGACCAACGAGCCATGGAACACGGGTTTTCTTTTGGTGTGCAATGTGGAAACAAAACTACAGATGCAACAAGGTTGGAAAATTTAGTTGTTGAACCATAATGAAAGCTGAGCTCGTCCGGGATTTGAACCCGGGACCTCTCGCACACAAAGCGAGAATCATACCCCTAGACCAACGAGCCATGAAACCTGGGTTTTATTTGGTGTGCAAAGTGGAAACAAAACTACAGATGCAACAAGGTTGGAAAATGTATTTGTTGAACCATGAGCAAAGCTGGGCTCATTCGGGATTTGAACCCGGGACCTCTCGCACCCAAAGCGAGAATCATACCCCTAGACCACCAGCCATGAAACCTGAGTTTTATTTGGTGTGCAAAGTGGAAACAAAACTACAGATGCAACAAGGGTTGTAAATCAATTTGTTGACCCATGAGGAAAGCCGCGCTCATCCGGGATTTGAACCCAGGACCTCTCGCACCCAAAGCGAGAATCATACCCCTAGACCAACGAGCCATGGAACCTGGGTTTTATTTGGTGTGCAAAGTGGAAACAAAACTACAGATGCAACAAGGATGGAAAATGTATTTGATGAACCATGAGGAAAGCTGGGCTCATCCGGGATTTGAACCCAGGACCTCTCGCACCCTAAGCAAGAATCATACACCTAGACCAACGAGCCATGGTGTATGAGTTTTAGTTGGTGTGCAAAGTGGAAAGAAAACATGGTGTATGGGTTTTATTTGATGTGCCAAAGTGGAAACAAAACTACAGATGCAACAAGATTGGTAAATTTAGTTGTTGAACCATAATTAAAGCTGGGCTCAACAAGGATTTGAACCCGAGACCTCTCGCACCCAAAGCGAGAATCATACCCCTAGTCCAACAAGCCATGGAACATGGGTTTTCTTTTGGTGTGCAATGTGGAAACAAAACTACAGATGCAACAAGGTTGGAAAATATAGTTGTTGAACCATAATGAAAGCTGGGCTCGTCCAGGATTTGAACCCGGGACCTCTCGCACCCAAAGCGAGAATCATACCCCTTGACCAACGAGCCATGGAACCTGGGTTTTATTTGGTGTGCAAAGTGGAAACAAAACTACAGATGCAACAAGGGTGGAAAATGTATTTGTTGAACCATGAGGAAAGCTGGGCTCATCCAGGATTTGAACCCGGGACCTCTCGCACTCTAAGCAAGAATCATACCCCTAGACCAACAAGCCATGGAACCTGGGTTTTATTTGGTGTGCAAAGTGGAAACAAAACTACAAATGCAACAAGAGTGGAAAATTTAGTTGTTGAACCATAATGCAAGCTGGGCTCGTCCTGGATTTGAACCCGCGACCTCTCGAACTGTAAGCGAGAATCGTACCCCTAGACCAACGAGCCATGTTGTATTGGTTTTAATTGCTGTGCAAAGTGCAAAAAAACTACAGATCCAACAAGGGTGGAAAATGTAGGTGTTGAACCATAATTAAAGCTGGGCTCGTCTAGGATTTGAACCCGGGACCTCTCGCACTCAAAGCGAGAATCAAACCCCTAGACCAACGAGCCTAGGTGTATGGGTTTTTATTTGTTGTGCAAAGTGGAAAGAAAACTACAAATGCAACAAGAGTGGAAAATTTAGTTGTTGAACCATAACGAAAGCTGGGCTCGTCCGGGATTTGAACCCGGGACCTCTTGCACCCGAAGGAAGAATCATTCCCCTAGACCAACGAGCCATTGAACATGGTTTTCTTTTGGTGTGCAATGTGGAAACAAAACTATTGATGCAAAACACATGGAAAATATAGGTGTTGAACCAAAATTAAAGCTGGGCTCGTCCAGGATTTGAACCCGGGACCTCTCGCACCCAAAGCGAGAATCATACCCTAGAACAACGAGCCATGGAACCTGGGTTTTATTTGGTGTGCAAAGTGGAAACAAAACTACAGATGCAACAAGGGTGGAAAATGTATTTGTTGAACCATGAGGAAAGCTGGGCTCATCCGGGATTTGAACCCGGGACCTCTCGCACCCAAAGCGAGAATCATACCCCTAGACCAACAAGCCATGGAACCTGGGTTTTATTTGGTGTGCAAAGTGGAAAGAAAACTACAGATGCAAAAAGAGTGGAAAATTTAGGTGTTAAACCATATTTAAAGATGGGCTCGCCCGGGATTTGAGCCCGGGACTTGAACCCGGGACCTCTCGCACTCAAAGCGAGAATCATATCCCTAGACCAACGAGCCATGGTGTATGGTTTTATTTGATGTGCCAATGTGGAAACAAAACTACTGATGCAACAAGAGTGGAAAAATTAGTTGTTGAACAATAATGAAAGCTGGGCTCGTCCAGGATTTGAACCCGGGACCTCTAGCACCCGAAGCATACCCCTAGACCAACGAGCCATGGAACATGGGTTTTTTTTTGGTGTGCAATGTGGAAACAAAACTACTGATGCAAAACACATGGAAAATATAGGTGTTGAACCAAAATTAAAGCTGGGCTCGTCCGGGATTTGAACCCGGGACCTCTCGCACCCAAAGCGAGAATAAAACCCCTAGACCAACGAGCCATGGAACCTGGGTTTTATTTGGTGTGCAAAGTGGAAACAAAACTACAGATGCAACAAGGGTGGAAAATGTATTTGTTGAACCATGAGGAAAGCTGGGCTCATCCGGGATTTGAACCCGGGACCTCTCGCACCCTAAGCAAGAATAATACCCCTAGACCAACAAGCCATGGAACCTGGGTTTTATTTGGTGTGCAAAGTGGAAAGAAAACTACAGATGCAAAAAGAGTGGAAAATTTAGGTGTTAAACCATATTTAAAGATTGCACGCCCGGGATTTGAACCCGGGACTTGAACCCAGGACCTCTCGCACTCAAAGCAAGAATCATATCCCTAGACCAACGAGCCATGGTGTATGGGTTTTATTTGATGTGCCAAAGTGGAAACAAAACTACAGATGCAACAAGGTTGGAAAATTTAGATTTTGAACCATTATTAAAGCTGGGCTCAACAAGGATTTGAACCCAGGACCTCTCGCACCCAAAGCGAGAATCATACCCCTAGACCAACGAGCCATGGAACATGGGTTTTCTTTTGGTGTGCAATGTGGAAACAAAACTACAGATGCAACAAGGTTGGAAAATTTAGTTGTTGAACCATAATGAAAGCTGGGCTCGTCCGGGATTTGAACCCGGGACCTCTCGCACCCAAGCGAGAATCATACCCCTAGACCAACGAGCCATGGAACCTGGTTTTTATTTGGTGTGCAAAGTGGAAACAAAACTACAGATGCAACAAGGGTGGAAAATATATTTGTTGAACCATGAGGAAAGCTGGGCTCATCCGGGATTTGAACCCAGGACCTCTCGCACCCAAAGCGAGAATCATACCCCAAGACCAACGAGCCATGGAACCTGGTTTTATTTGGTGTGCAAAGTGGAAACAAAACTACAGATGCAACAAGGGTGGAAAATGTATTTGTAGAACCATGAGGAAAGCAGGGCTCATCCGGGATTTGAACCTGGGACCTCTCGCACCCAAAGCGAGAATCATACCCCTAGACCAACGAGCCATGGAACCTGGGTTTTATTTGGTGTGCAAGTGGAAACAAAACTACAGATGCAACAAGGGTGGAAAATGTATTTGTTGAACCATGAGGAAAGCTGGGCTCATCCGGCATTTGAAACCGGGACCTCTCGCACCCAAAGCGAGAATCATACCCCTAGACCAACGAGCCATGGAACCTGGGTTTTATTTGGTGTGCAAAGTGGAAACAAAACTACAGATGCAACAAGGGTGGAAAATGTATTTGTTGAACCATGAGGAAAGCTGGGCTCATCCGGGATTTGAACCCAGGACCTCTCACACCCTAAGCGAGAATCATACCCCTAGACCAACAAGCCATGGAACATAGGAATTCTTTTGGTGTGCAATGTGGAAACAAATCTACAGATGCAATAAGGGTGAAAAATTTAGGTGTTGAACCATAATTAAAGCTGGGCTCGTCCTAGATTTGAACCCGCGACCTCTCGAACCGTAAGCGAGAATCGTACCCCTAGACCAACGAGCCATGTTGTATTGGTTTTATTTGCTGTGCAAAGTGCAAAAAAACTACAGATGCAACAAGGGTGGAAAATTTAGGTGTTGAACCATAATTAAAGCTGGGCTCGTCCAGGATTTAAACCCGGGACCTCTCGCTCTCAAAGCGAGAATCAAACCCCTAGACCAACGAGCCTAGGCGTATGGGTTTTTATTTGTTGTGCAAAGTGGAAAGAAAACTACAAATGCAACAAGAGTGGAAAATTTAGTTGTTGAACCATAATGAAAGCTGGGCTCGTACGGGATTTGAACCCGGGACCTCTCGCACCTGAAGGAAGAATCATACTCCTAGACCAACGAGCAATTGAACATGGGTTTACTTTTGGTGTGCAATGTGAAAACAAAACTATTGATGCAAAACACATCAAAAATATAGGTGTTGAACCAAAATTAAAGCTGGGCTCATCCAGGATTTGAACCCGGGACCTCTCGCACCCAAAGCGAGAATCATACCCCTAGACCAACGAGCCATGGAACCTTGGTTTTATTTGGTGTGCAAAGTGGAAACAAAACTACAGATGCAACAAGGGTGGAGAATGTATTTTTTGAACCATGAGGAAAGCTGGGCTCATCCGGGATTTGAACCCGGGACCTCTCGCACTCTAAGCAAGAATCATACCCCTAGACCAACGAGCCATGGAACCTGGGTTTTATTTGGTGTACAAAGTGGAAAGAAAACTACAGATGCAAAAAGAGTGGAAAATTTAGGTGTTAAACCATATTTAAAGATGGGCTCGCCTGGGATTTAAACCCAGGACTTGAACCCGGGACCTCTCGCACTCAAAGCGAGAATCATATCCCCAGACCAACGAGCCATGGAGTATGGGTTTTATTTGATGTGCCAAAGTGGAAACAAAACTACAGATGCAACAAGAGGTGGAAAATGTATTTGTTGAACCATGAGGAAAGCTGGGCTCATCCGGGATTTGAACCCAGGACCTCTCGCACC